GATGCTTTTAAGGTTGTACGGTAAACTGTTCCTCAGGTTACCATCAATCTGCTGTCCTTTCTCCCTGTGCCACCTTTAGAGACCCGAGTAAAGACAGGCAGGGAAGCCCCCAGGGAACTCGGCTCAGGCCTTAAAGAATCTGCCTGCGATGCAGGAGACCCAGGTAGATCCCTGGACCAGGAAGATGCCCTGGAGAAGGGAGTGGCTACCCCTCCAGTATCCAACACACCTGTCGCTTTGAGGTTTTTTGGACATCATCATATGATCTACATATAATGGGCTTCCCAGGTGGCTCAGTGGTAGAGAATCCACCTACCAGTGCAGGAGATGCAGGAGAGGTGGGCTCGACCCCTGGGTGGGCGAGATCTCCTGGAGGATGAAATGGCAGCCCGCTCCAGTCCTCTTGCCTGGAGAATCCCATGGACAGAGGAGCCTGGTGGTCTACAGTGCATGGGGTCACAAAGAGTCAGACACGACTGACACAAAAGACAGGCAACCTCCCAGCCCCTCTCATCATGGTCCCATGAAGAAGAAACCAAAGTCAGATCCAAGTTCACCTTCAAAAATAGCCTTGAAAAGTATCTTTCCTAAAGTTATTCTGCAAGGAACCAAAGAGCAGTTACGCTCATAAAAGAGACAGAAGTGGCTTAAAACCTTTTTCTTCTCTCAAAGGCCCCCAGCCACAGCCCACCTCCACCTCCCTCCACAAACATGTGGGTCCTCTGGCCAGGAGCCTCCTCTCTGGTGCTTAAACACAGTCCTTTGATCACCTTTTCCAAGCACAGAAACTGGTCAGAGAGTGAAGAAGCCGCTCAGAGCCACACAGCTTGGACATAGGTCCAAGCAGACTCCAATAAGCAGGAGTCTGGCCCTGAGATCCCCGAACCACAGCTCTGAACAGACTTCCATCCCAGTGCCTGCGACCTGGGGCTCTTCTTATAAGAAGAGAAGACACAAAAACACACAGAGAAGGTCGTGAAACTGGCGGGCCTAGCCGGGGGACACTGAGGGATGCCCACGATGACCAGAGGCCAGAAGGAGTCTCCCCTGGAGCCCTCAGTGAGACGGTGGTCCCGACAAGACCTTGGTCCTCAGACCTCTAGCCTCCAGAAAACTGTGAGGGAACACATTCTGTTGTGTTAAGCCACCTGGCTCAGGGAAATTTGCTAAAGGCAGGCCTAGGAAATGACGGTTGTCCCTGGGTGCCCACGAGGGATGGGGTTTAGGACCCCCGCACACACCCATATCTGCAGAGGCTCGTACTTGGTCCTCCGTATCCGAGGATGCAGAAGGGCCAGCCATAATAAGAAAGTCATTTGTTTTTGCTTACATGATTATAAGACAACCTCAAACTAATAATGCAGAAATTCCATTTTGGTTTTTCAGTTCTCACTAAGCACCTTATTTGCTGGTGTTGGGTTCTTTGCCCTCGGCCCTGTGATCTGCAAACACTTGACCATGAACCTGGACTAGATGAAAAGCCCCTTGGTGAGGGCAAAGTCTGGCCTCTATTCCAGTCAAGACCAGTGAGCTGATGAGGAAGAGAACCCTGAACGCACTGTGGTTCCCCCTAAACCTTCACAGCAGAGCTGTGTCACCGGCAGGAAAGTTCTAGTCAGTCGCACATGGACTCAAAGGCCTTACAAACACCCACTCCAAAGTCAAACCTAAACATTTGGAAAGTATCCACAGTAGCCAAAGTGTGCAAACAACCTACGTGTCCATTGAGAGATGAAGGGATAAAGTGTGGTTTATCCACACAGTGGAGTGTTACTCAGCCTTAAAAGGGCAGCAGTCCTGCTATCTGTGACAGGATGGATGAACCTTGAGGGCATTATGCTAAACGAGATAAGCCAGCCACAGAAAGGCAAATACTGCAGACGCCATTTACTATGTCACTCAGTTATAAGAATGAAATCATAGCATCTGCAGCAACATGAATGGACCTAGAGATGATCACACTAAGTAAGTCAGACAGAGAAAGACAAACACCATGTAATATCACTTATGTGTGGAATCTAAAACAAATGATATAAATGAACTTATTTATAAAACAGACTCACAGACATAGAAAACAATGTTTTAGTTACCAAAGGACAAAGAGGGGGGAGAGATAAATTAGGAGTTTGGGGTTAGTGGGTACAAACTACTATATATAAAGTAAGTTAACAACAAGATCCTGCTACATAGCAAAGGGAACTATATTCAATATCTTGTAATAACCTATAATGGAAAAGAATCTAAAAATAATGTATATACATATTTATAACTGAATCACTTTGTTGTACACCAGAAACTAACACCACATTGTAAATCAACTATGCTTCAATTAAAACAAATTTGTCTCTAAAGTCAAAACCCAATTTTTGTGTACTTTAAGACATATTAGGGACTTCCCTGGCAGGCCAGTGGTTCAATGCAGGGGACACTGTCAATACAGGGGACACAGTTCAATCCCTGGTCAGAGAACTAAGACCCTACATGCCACATAGCACCACCAAAAGATAAAAAACTAAACAAAAACAACAAAATAACTTTTAATAAACCTGAAAAATACTTAAAAGTTATCACTCTTCCATTGTTGTTGTTCAGTCACCAAATTGTGTCCAACTCTTCATGACCCCATGGACTGCAGCACACTAGGCTTCCCTGTCCTTTACTGTCTCCTGGAGTTTGCTCAGATTCATGTCCACTGAGTTGGTGGTGATGCTATCTAACCATCCCACCCTCTGCCGCCCTCTCCCATTAGCCCAGATAATTTTAAAGTAATGACCGTGTTTAGTGTTCACACCATCTGTGCTTTGCAGGGATGGTTCCTGAGGATGGTTTCTCCCAAACCCTCTATCACCAGAAGTGGGGCTGCCCTGGGCCCACTGACGGCTCTGGGACCCACCGGGGCTTTACCTCGAGGGCACACTTCACAGGGTCGCTCCCGAGACAGGAGGCAGGTGGGTCAAGGCAGGCCTGCTCCCCGGGACTCCAGGGCACAGACTTCGGTGCAGAGACCCCTGTGGCTTTGCCGGCCCTTCTTAGGTCATGTGGCATCTGGGACCTTCCCCAGCTCCTAAGTGCCGCCCTGACAGACAACCGCCTCATGGGGAATCCAGTCTGGGTGTCTCAGAAAACCGGGGCTAAGACATTCTACTTAATCACCGCCTCACCCTTCCAGGAGGACCCCACCACCCTCCCCACTTTATGGAGGAGGAGTTGGAGGCACGGAGCCCCGGTTGGTGGGGACAGCGAGGAGGCTGTCCTGAGGCTGAACTTGGCCTTCTCTGTCAGGGTTAATGTGATTATTTTTCACAGGCCATGATGACAGGAAATACACTTTCAAAGGTTTAAAAATAGATCCACAGTCGTTTTTCCAGAACACGTGACATTCTGACAACGAAATTAGGTGACAGCTTTCAGATTAGACCTTTCAGAGTGCTTGGAAAACCCATTCTTCTAATCGAGCCATCCTCTGACCTGTAGTGACCAGTTCCCCGCAGTCGTTTTCTCCTAAGGAAAAGTGGTCCTCAGGGGCTGCATAGGGCAATGTGAGGGACAAGTGGCCTGCCGTCCTGCAAAGGTTCCTTCCCTTGGTCAAAGCTGGAAAGTCTTATTAATCGGCTGGCTGTCAGTGGTGCAGAAGTGAGCAGCCAGTTAAGGATGAGGCCTGTCCACCAAGTGGGACCCTCTCCACACCCCTACCCATCACCCGCCACCCCAGCACCACCCCATCACCCACTCCACCCCACCCCAGACCTCACACCTCACACCCCACACCACAGCTCACACCTCCCCCCATCTCCCACTGCACCCCACCCCACACCTCACACCCCACACCCCTCAGGCCAGCAAAGCACGTTTTGGGACAGGTGGGGCCTGTCCTTGAAGTCACCACAGCCCCAAAACTGCCTCAGGAAGGCTCCCTGGGCCAGAGGGGCTCCCTCGGGGAGGGGCGCGCGCTCTCTGGAGCCGCCCTCCTGAGCCCCACCCTTCTGCTCCGGTCCATCCTTCCCCCCACCCCGTCTCTGGCGCCTTTGCTGGACGCCAGTGTCACAGCTCCGGCACCTAGTCCTCCCCGTGGGGAGCCGAGGAGGGCCCCGGGGCCGGGACTGTGGACTTGAGAGCCCAGAGGCCGTGGCCTTGGCCCCATGCCTTGGCCTCATGCTGGGCAGAGGGCGGTGGGCCTGAGAGGGTGCAGTTCCTGGGCTGGAGGCAATGCAGCTGGCTGGGGGCTGTGGGGACCCCGGAGGAGCAGGCTGAGCTCTGGGGACATCTGGGAGGGATGGAGCAGGGTGCTCCCTTTGGGTTTCCAGAAACTTCTAGAAGAGTGGCAGTAAGCAGGAGCCTGGGAAGCACGTGCTGCTGCAGCCTGAGGGGAGCAGAGGAAATGGCCGCTGGAAGCCTAGGGGACAGAAGGGACCTGGAGGCTGGCGAGCCATCTTTGGGGAGGGGCCTCTGTGAACACCCAGCAGACCCAGCCCCTCTGGGGTGGATCCCAGCTCACTGAGGTCGGGTGTGTGGGGGCGGGCAGGGGTCACCCTCCCCCGCTAGGTCCCTGTGAGGGCCCCTCCTGTCAGAGAAAGTCCAGAGGGGCTGGAGTGTCTGCCCGCTCCACTCCCGCTGGTCCACATCCAGAAAGAAGGACGCTGCCCGGATTCAAGGACGTCCTTTAATCACAAATATGTCTCCACAGTCTGGCCACAGGCAGGAAGCGAGTGCGGTGGGGGTTACTGGGAGACAGCTCAGACCGTCCCCAGCAAGACCAACAGCTGCGCCCGCTCCCTCCCGGTCCCTGGGCTGCCCTTCCCAGGCCAACGCCTATGCTTGACCACTCTGGCTGGCATCCTGGGGTGAGCTCTTCTCGGTAGAAGAGGGGATTGAGGGGTCTGCTCTGCCGTTGGGGCTCCAGAAACCTTGGTCAGGCTGGGCCTCTGTGCCCACCTCCCCACCTGCTCTGCAGCTTCTGTGATCGGGCAGCCCTCCCCCCACCCCCCCACACAGACCGCGGCCTACACGATGCCCTCCGGGCGCTTGCTCCTCCAGACCACCAGTGCCGTCACGAGCAGGGTCACCAGGATGGGGACCACGATGAAGGGGCAGAGGACGCTGCTGGGTGGGTCCTGCAAGGCCCTGCCTGAGACGGGGCAGTTTCTGAAGTAGTGCTGGTGGATGGCGAGGAAGAACTTGTCCACCTCCGCGTTTGGCCAGAAGCAGTCCAGGTTTTGCGCCACATGCCTGGTGCAGTTGGAGAGCTCCTTGTAGCTCCTGCAGGCGGAAAAGCAGGTCGTCAGGTCCTGAGGGGCAGAGGACCCAGGGGGGACTCGAGCCAGGGCTCTCCAACCCACTCCCCATGTGGCGAGCTCCACCGAAGCCCAGGCCCTGAGGCGGTGCCTCTGGTTCTAGAGACAAATGTCCTGGAAGGCTCCTGGGGGGGTGGGTGGGAAGCGTGTGGCCAGACCCCAGGAGGCAAGCTGGAGCTAAGGGATTCTAGGAGCTACGATGTCACACCAAGGGCAGACTAGAAGGTGGACCAGCTAAGCACCTTTAGAAGGAAGTCTGGAAAAACGAGCTTCAGCCCTTTGAGTGCCTTGCCATCTCCCCCACCCCGTGCAGACCACCCTGGCCTGGAAGCTCCCCTAGTGGCCCACAGGACTTGTTGTGAGGCCTCCCGCCCTACCTTCACCCCAACCCCTCATCTTCCCACTCTCTCTGGAATTGTGCCACAGCACTGTCACCCTTCACTCTAGTAGGTTATGCATTCATTTTGCTTATTGAGTGTAAACACCATGAGGACAGGGATGTTGTCTGTTTGGTCACCTCTGTAATCCCAGTGCCTAAAAGAGTCCCCGGCACAAGCCAAGAACCAATACATTTTGTTATAAATAATGCTAAAATATAAATAACATAAAATTTACCATTTCAACCCTTTTTAACTGTATAGTGCAGTGGTATTAAGTATAGTGGCATTGTTGTGCAACCATCAGCACCATCCATCTCCAGAACTATTTCATTCCCAAACAGAAAATCTGTCCCCATTAAACACTCACGCCGTCTTCCCTCTAGTCTCTGGCAACTCCTGCCTTCTATCTCTGTGAAATCTGATGACTCCAGTAGCTCACATAAGTGGGCTCATACACTCTTTGTCCTTTTGTGATTGGCTTATTTCACTGAACAGAATGTCCTTGAGATTCATCCATGTTGTTGCACATGACAGGGTTCCGTTCCTTTTTAAGGCTGAATAATATACTGCTTGTCCATACTTCATTGTATCTTCTCATTGATGGGTATTTGGGTTGCTTCTATGTTTTAACTGTTGTGACAAGTGCTGCTACTTTGAATAGGGGAGTTCATGTAGTTCAATTACCTATTCAAGTCTCTGCTTTCAGAAGAGCTGAAATATTCAGCTCTTTCAGCTGCATAATCAGAAGCCAGAATTGCTGGATCATATTATAAGTTTGTTTTTAATTTTTTGAGTCAATTTTTTAAAAATAAATGAAGATTCAATGTTGGGGAAATGAAAATGTAGTTTCCAGAAGGTATCACTTCTGCTTCTGCTTAGGATAGAAAAAGCAAAACAGAGTGCTGATTCCTCTTGAATGACAACCAACAAAGCCGAAGAAACTACAAAGCCATAGATCTTGAGTTCATCAGAGAGCTGAGACTGCAAGTCAACAATGTAACTTGGGTTTCAGGGAAGAGCAAGGCGGTGTGAGGAGGATGCAGCTGCTAAAAAGCTGCCCAGGGTTCAGTGTGGGCTGGGGGGAGGGGGCTCAGTCTGGAACTCCTGGGGCCCCAGGTGCACTGGTGGTTCCCTGACTCTTTGCTCTTTCCCATGAGGCTCTAGGGGGAGCTCGTGAGAAAGGTTAGGGGCAGGCACAAACACCACACATTTCCCAAACCCTTCTCACATAAGCAGCAACACCGCCTTGGGCCCCTGGAGGATGAGAAACGCTGATCCCAATGAACAGATTCTGCTGCTTTGAACATGGGAGTGCATTTACCTATTCATCTCTGTGACTGCAGCTAAACAGGACTGAAGCCCTCCCAGACCCTTATCTCCAGGAAGCAAAGCCTTGAGCTGCCGATTGTCAGCCCCAGGGCACAAGACAACACACCATGGCTGGGAGAAGGATGGGCAAAACTCTTTTCCCTTGGGAGAACAGCAGGAAACCATCCTGGACCTAAGAATCTGCACGATACCACACCACTGGGAGAGGGACAGGAATGTCCCACCCAAGCCCCAACAGATACAGGGCAGAGTCTGGCCACCACCAGGAGGAGGCCAACGGCATACAGCTTTTCTGAGCTGAGACTGGACCAGGACAAGGGAACCCCTCTACCTCTCTCCCAAAATAAATCTGGCATAGAATAACAAGCAACAGTACTCTGCCACAGGGAGGGGGAGAGAGACCTACTCTGTGGCACAGGTGTGCAGGGTGGGACACAGTACACAGAGAAAAATTCTCTAGCCCCACTCAGCCTGACACAAGAGGCTTAACAATTTCCAGATGTAAATACTATTTGTCTCAATCTCTTCCCTTCTACACATGCAAGTTCAACATCCTGTAAAACATTAGGACTCACTGTCAGAACATAAAACAATCAGTAGAGTCTGACTCAGAGATGACCCAGATTCAGTAATTATCATACAGGGATTTAAAAATATCAATATGGTAAAGGGTCTAGTTGAGAAGGTAGACAATATGCACCAACAGAGAATTTCAGCAGAGACAGAAATGTAAGAAAGTCAAAGAGAAATGCTGGGGGAAGGAACCCCACAGTATCAGAGAGTCCATCTTCGATGAGGTCATCATCAGACTTGGCATCTGAGGAAAGAACTAGTGAACTTGAAGATGGGTCAATAGAAATTACCCAAGCTGAAACAAAAAGAAAAACATAAGAGCATCTAATAGTTGTGATAAATTAAGAGCACTGTCAATGATGTCATCTCCAACTTGTAATTGGAGTTCCAAAAGGAGAAGGAATGGGGCAGAAGAAATATTTAAGAGATAATGGCTGAGAATTTTCCAAAAATAATGAGATGAAAAACCATAAATCTAAGAAGGCCAGAGACAGCCCCCCCCAAACAGAACAAAAAAGCAAAGCAACAGCAACAACAGCCACCTAGATATTAAAGTCAAACTGCTGAAAACCAACGGTGAAGAAAAAAAATCCAAGAAAAAATCTTGGAGTTATTCAGGAAAAAGAGAGACACCTACAGAGGAATGTGTGGTGTGAACTACAGCAGACCTCTTACTGGGACTATGCAAGCCAGAAGACAATGGGTGGCATTTTTTAAGTACTAGGTGGGGGTGGGGGAGGCATAGCGGGAAGGGCCACAAACCCCTGTCTGCCCAGAATCCTTTACTCAGCAAAAATATCTTTGAGATATGAGCTTGCAATAAACACCTTTTCAGAAAAAAAGCTTATAGAGTTCATGGTCAGCAGACCTGTGCTACAAGAAATGTTAAAGTTCTTCAGTCAAAAGAATATAACAGAAGGAACTCTGGACCCACACAAAGAAATGAAGAGTTCCTCCCACTAAAATGAAGATTTACAAAACGTGATTTTCCTTATCTTAGGCCAGGAAATGAGTACACAGAGCAGAAGCCATAACTCAACATTGAGGAGACACTCAGGCATGTATTGAAAAACCGAAGGGAAAAGGTTGGGGTCCCTCCAGCACCCAAGCACCCCTCCACCACAGCTCCTATCATATGGTCTCTCAATCACTAGGTCACTGTTTTTTCTGGACTGCTTGCCCTTTGGGCCATGACCCCACGTGCACACAAGGCCTCCCTCAGTCCACATGACCATCTAAATGGATGGAGAGAGTGGGCAGAAGAAGTGGAGGGTGTGCAGGAGCCATGCCCACAGGGGTGTATGGTTTTTCTAAGAGAACAAGGACTCATGTTCCAAGTAGAAAATGGAAGTGGAAAAAAGCTACAGGAAGTTAGGACAGACTGGGTCTCATTGTGAAAAAGTGAATTAGTACATGTCAGAAGCCTGGTACAAGGTAAGTGAAAGTGCGTCAGGGATCATGAAAAACCAAAGACAAGCCTTTTGAGCTTGTGGTTGGCCAACTACAGGGCTGCATGTTACAAACCCTGGTTTGAATGGCTGTCTTCTTCCCCACCTCAGACCCATCAGATTGGCGGGTAGTTTTAGGTGTGGTACAGACAGTGACACAGTCAGCCCTAAATGTTGTCCCCTATGCTCTGCCTGAGGAATAGAGCTGGGGTGTCCCTTGGAGGAGGCATTGCTAGAATGGGAAGAACCCCTGACCCAGGAAACTGTGACACCAGGGACCACAGACCAGGCACATGTTGAGGCTGAGCCAGTGGTGGGCCCTTCTGGGGCCAAGCACTTTCTCCTTGAAATATCTTTCCAGTCTGCAAACCCAACCCCCCCACCCCCGTCTAAAAATATCCCTCATGCGGAGTCCGCTGCCCACTTCATCCTGTTTATTTATACAGAAGTGACAGCTGAAACTCTCAATAAATATTGTGAGCTCTGTCAGCAAGGATGTGATACAAGAATTCCCTCCAGAGTACAGACATTCTTCTGTTCAAAAGAACACAGTACCGACTGAAGGGGCCAAAATAATCATGAAGAAATATTCTTGCTTTAACCCTCTACTTTCAGTTCTCATGTAATGGAATCATTTTCCTTTTTTGGCCAGACTTTCTATTCTGGGCCCCCACGTGAACTTTGCTTGGAATGTTCCTGAACACTGTGGTGGGAGTTTCCAGTATGTCTGGGTCCCACCAAGTCAAGGCTCCTGGCACTGCACTTGATGATTATTTACTTGTTGACAAGAAGGTGCCTGCCACTGCCCACAGGGGACTTGTCTACTCTGGGACACCAGCCAGCATCAGGACTGACTGGTCCCAATTGTGGAGTATCAGTATGGGCCCTGGTGCCCCGAAGAACTGGGTTCAAATCCAGCTCCACCTCTTATGCTGAGTGATTCCGGGGCCTCATCTCTCCCTTCCAAGCCTTATTGCTGTTGTTCAGTTGCTAAGTCATATCCGACTCTTTACAACCCCATGGACTGCAGCACGCCAGGCTTCCCTGTCCTTCACCATCTCCCGGAGTTTACTCAAACTCATGTCCAATGAGTCGGTGGTGCCATCCAACCATCTCATCCTCTGTCATCCCCTTCTCCTGCCCTCAATCTTTCCCAGCATCAGGGTCTTTTCCAATGAGTCAGATCTTCACATCAGGTGGCCAAAGTATTGGAGCTTCAGCTTCAGCATCAGTCC